ACGTCAGCAAAATGAAGTTGGAACCTAGAAATGTGCTCCTGGAAAACTGGCCAATGTGATCCTGTTGTACTAAGCTGAACCCCAATTATCACTTCAGAGATTAAACAGCCATTACTCCAATCAAGGCACTGTTTTTCTTATGAGGTTGTTACAGATGTGCAGAAAATATAGTGACAATCTCTGGTCTAGATGCTACTTTTATTTATGATCTGCTGTCTGGAATACTGAGCTATCCATCAAGTCTGAAGTACCTGCAGATGTGCACAGATCAAAATAAAAGAGAAAATTTCATTGCTCACTAAACCAGAGATTCTTTGAAAACACTTATGGAATAGCATCTGATTCTGTGTCTTACTAGATTCCTAACAGCTGAAACATCTCATCTCGAACATTTAATGTGGTTGTCTCGCACTTCATATTGTCTTAAAAGTTGATGCACATGCAGTCAACCCATATCTACTAAAATTGCTGTTGTAGTCCTGTTTCTAGGAACAAAGCTGAAATGCATTAACAAGTTAACCTTTTCACACTTGGAAAAGCTCTTCTTCTTCTTTTTCATTTGCACAGCCCTTACTCCAAAGCCTCAAGTACTGGATCAGAAAGCTCTTAATTTAAGTATCATTATTGTTAATAGCAATACTCACCTAACACAATGCAGCAGTATGAAGCCAAGACAGGCTGTCTGGAAAGCTTTTCTGAATGCTAACTTTCTATTTACTGAGCCTGCAGAGGAAACTGCAGCATGCCATCTGTCTTGGTGCTCACTCTTAATTTCCTTTCATCACTGTTTTACCCAATATGAAAATGATATTTCCTGCAGGTTTTAGCAAGGATACGTTAACTTATCTAATTTTATATTTTAATAGAATAACACAAGGCACTGGGACTGATACATATCAGTAATTGCTGCTCAAATGGGTGTAAATTGTCTTGATCAAATCATGAGTGTATACAATTTTTTAATTAGACTGCTTGAGACTTGCAGTAACCAGGGAATGATTATGCTAGTCAGCAGGCAAGGGCAGCACATTTAGCAACTGATCCCTCTGTGTTTCTGTTCTACCTTCCTTCATGTCAATGCAGAGCAAACATGTGTCAAGTCTCACGTACAGCCACTTCCTAACATGTAGAGACTGCACTGGGCACCAGCACTCTGCAAAGACTAGGGCTTGGAGCAAACCATCAGGCATGATATTCCAGTTCTCCAGTCAGGAAAGCTGCACTGGGCACTGTGACTGAGGGTCTCCAATTTATTTGTGTGTTCTCTGCTCTTTCTTATACATCTTCAAGGAGCAAGCAGGTCATAGAAATTGTGCTGGAAGAAGGGGAAACAGTTTCTTTTTCTATATACAACTCCAGCATGCTTGGGGAGAAGAGGTTTCCAGCACCAGTGGGTGAAGATAACAGAAGCATGGGAGAATTGTCAATGATGCATCCATGATATTTCTAAAGAATATGTTTAGGTTGCTTCTTACTCAACCTCACCAATGCCTCTCCCTTAAAATGTAAATATGTAGACATTTATTTGGATTCTGTGCACAAACAAAAATCACACAATTTACCTCAGCTGCAACATACAATAGTCTAAAAGAAACACAAACTGATAAATGACCCACTAATAACGTACTTGCTAATTCTCTCTTTCAGAATGAATATTGTAAGCATTTTAAGACACTAAAGGGTGTAATTAGTTGTAGGAACAACTGAAGACTAATTACCAGTATAGGGAAAAAAAACCACCACCAAAAACATTACTATAATTAGGTTCATTTGTTTCACAAAGAGGAAAAGTCCATAGTATTCTGGAAAACAGTGCTATTTGATTCACATTATTTTCTTGACATTACTAGAATCAGGAAATTAAGTCACAACTGATAGTTTATTTAAAAAAGAAAGAAAATTTTATAGTCCCTTTACATAAAGGTCACCTACTCCCAACTAACGCTCCCATGTACTGAGCTTTCTAGAAAGAGATTTTTCTTCATTTCCACTCAATGCTACACATAATTGAAAGGACAAGTGATGCTAATTTCATCTTCCTAAATGCCACACACTGAAGAGCTAACAAGAGCTAGAGCAGGTACATTTCTGATGTGCACTCCTTTTCAAGCCCTTACATTAATCAGTGCCAGGAGATTTCCAAGTATTCTGTTTCACAGGTCTGGCAATCAATGAAACATTTGGTCTCCAACAACTGGCCTGTTACACCTCATTACAGCATGGAAAAGTTAAAAACAATTCTTAATGACCAGGACACATTGAAGAGCACTGGCTGACTATCACTGCATAAAATCAGGCTGAATCTTCACCAAAAGGCCATTAAAACTATCAGGTCAGAACGGGACTTGCTCATGATTTTCTTTTTTAAAAAGAATTTGCTCATCTTCATATTTCTGTTTGTGAAAATGCTTCAGTGACATTTTAGAGCTAACTTCTACTTTAAATCAAAGAAGGGAAAATTGTACTATTGACTTGAAGGATTTCAATATAAAGCTGTTATCAGTCATTTCAGATGTCTCAGGAAATACAGCAAGAATGTTCTCTGAAAGACTAAGGATATGACAGAGGCCAATTTTGAGTTATCCACGTTTACATCACAGCCCCTTCCCCTGAGTGAAGTACCTCTTCTCCCAACAGAGAGGACACCATGGAACCTCCTTACAACCCTTTCAAATCATACAGGACTCCAATACATCCAATAGATCATCTATTCTGTGTCATTTTTTCACTAGAGACTGGTTTCCTAGAGGGGTGGTCAATGCCCCAAGCCTGACAGTGTTTCAGAGGCATTTGGACAATGCCCTTAAGAACACACTTCAACTTGCTCAGGCCTGAATTGGTCAGGCAGTGGGACTGGATGATCTAAGTCCTTTCCAGCTGAAATATTCTATTCTATTTAGTTATTGCCTTAGGTGTCCACAGTTTTCTGGCACTAGCCTGTGCAATTGCAGAGGCCAATGATGCTCAAAGAACTGTATTGCAGTATTTTCCACAAGCAAACACACGAGTAACCCCTCAGTCACAAGAGGGTTTGTGTTATGGGAATGATCTGAGAGGACTCCTACCTTGGTAACTAACTGCTGTTGCTACCAATTCACTTGTGGGCTGTTGCTCTCTGCTCATGAGGAATGATAGCTCTCCTGAAAGTACAAAACTGTGCTGCTGTTCCCTCCCAGGAGCATCTCTCATTGTGATCGATGCACACAATGGAGAGCAAAAGGAACTGTCAGATAGGGAACAAATAAATAGATCTTATTGTCAGGACCTGCCAGCTCCAACTGTTCTCAAACACAACAGTGCACCCATCCCACTCCTCTGCTGTGCCTACACTGGGATGTACTTCATCAGCCATAGGGCTCTGTCACATTTCAGGAATTACCTGAGCTGATTGCTGTAATCCCAACCACCAAAGGAAGCCATCTCATGCAAGGGCTCTGGTCAAACAGGAGACAGCACAATGTAGATGAGCAGTTCCTCTGCATCTTTGAGAGCTCACGTGGACTACAAGCTAAGGAGACCTAGTGGACAATCAAGTTCAAATTCCTGCTAATTAACAGCTCTTATGAGAACACCTGCACTGGGAAAAGTTTGTGCAAAAGCAAAGGATCATGCTAAAGCCTTGTGCAAAGGCAAAGGAGAAAAAAGCTTTCCTTGCCTGCTGCCAGGTAACATAATGTATTTTATTCTTACAAGGAAACTTACTATTTTCTCCAATATAAAAACAAGTTTAAAACAATTTACAGTTCTTCACCACCCTACCTGCAGTGCTACACATAAGCAAAGCAAAGCAGCCTCCTGAATATGTCTTTAGAGCTGACTGGATCCCATGCTGCTGCAGGTGATGGGCTCCTGCCAAGCATCACTGCACTCTGAAGCAACTGTTTTTACCAGTCAGACTTTCAAATGGGCATTTATATTCATTGGACAACTCTCAGTATTAATATAATAGCCTATACCTTCTCTGCATCAGTACAGTTGAGAAACTGGGAGGTATTTAGGCATTATTCATAGTGGGTTTATTACTTGAAATTAAAGCTTTTGGGCCAGATCTTCAGCTGGCACAAACTCAGCACAGCTCTATTTAAATTGAAGGAATTGTGCTAATTTACATCAAATTACAATGCCTACTGAAGGTCTCTGGGGATTATCTACTTGGTAAGTCAGTTACTTTACCTAATTAAAGTAGTTGAGAGTGTTTCTTAGTAAATTATGAACCACCTATGATATTTATTCATTGAAAAGCTCAGACTGCTAGGCAATACTTGCATATTATCTTTTTTTCCTTCCCTTTTATAACTGAATATATCTCATCACAACTTTGGAACTACATTATCAAATCTTCCCATACAAAGTTTGCATGGAAAAATACCTTTTGTTTAGCACTGACTACTCAATTTAATAATTTATTTTTGTATTTCTTGCACACGTTATCTCAAAATTATTGTGTAGGTACCAAGCTGATGCCAAGCTCCTATTTCTTAATGCTCCAAAAACATTACAGCTGTAAAATCCTGAACATGTTGCCCAAAAAACCTTGTTCTGCTCAATTTTGCCTTTCCTAGACCTCTGATTTGTTTTATTAATACACATAACACACTAAGTACAATATCTTTGTTTTGTATATTCCCAAAGGCAAAGCACTATGACTGTGAAACATGGTATTAACTTTTATTAGTATAAGGGGCCAAAGGTTTGTTAAAATTTCAACAGCACAGACTTTTTTTGGACTGGGCAGTGTTAGAGTAATGGCTAGATTCAAGGATCTTAAAGCTCTTCTCCAACCTTAATGATTCTGTGATTCTCTAACATTTACAGCTTTCCTACATAATTTTCTCAGTCAGACTGCAGGCACAGAATCCCTGTCAAAACAGTATTTTGTATGTATTTCTAAGGCACAAAGCAATCAGGAAAACATAATTTTCCTTACCATGATTTACAGCTGCATATGATGAACCAGAATTCTTTTTCATTAACACAGGGCAAAGATTCAACTCTCTTACCTTTTATTTCTGTCTTCTATCTGCAAGATATAGACCATGTCATCATTGGTGTGAAGCTTGGAGCTGCTGTCTCCCCATTTCAGCTTCAGGCTCTGTGGCCCTGCTGCAGCACACTCTAACCGTGGAGGTAAGGGTGGTAATGGCCTGGTTTTTGCTTTAATAAAGTGGCTAAAAGGTCCAGCTCCAATTTCATTGACAGCCTGGATCCTGATCCTAAAATGAACAACAAAAAGCTAAAGGTTAAATAAAGCACTTTCCCCAAGGTTCTTGGTATAACAAAGTCTCAAGAAACAAGAGAACCTTCTGGAGCTGACTGCTCTGTCCTTGCCACAGTGCCAACTCCCAGTGCTTTTTGTTTGGCTTTGTTAACACAAGTATCATCCTGCTTATACTGTAAGAGCTAGGGTGAAGATGTTGGAAATAGAGTAAGGCAGAGGGGGAAGATTTGGATCAACCCCTCAGAACCTGGTGGCAGTCCCATCAGCCACATGAACAAGGAGAGCAGCACAGAACAAGTACAGCCTGGACAACACAAAGTGTGTAACCATGAATAAATAAAAAGCAAATGTGTTGTGGTTGTCTAACAAAGAACATGGACTGCTTTAGGTGAACTCATTCAGTGAAAGCACTGGTGCCACTGCCATGAAACCCATCTCAGTGTTGGCAAACATCCCTGAAGACCAAAGAACAGTACTATTTCAGTGGGAGTAATGTCTCACAAAGCACACTACTTAAGTACCGGAAACTACTGGGAAGAGCTAATGGAGAAGGTTAAATCCACAAACCTCCTACACAAACTGTGGAAAGATTATCCATCAGTGAGTTATTAGGTCAAATAAAAGTTGGAATGAAGTCCCTCTCCTAAGACGCACAAAAACCCTTGAGGCGTTTGACTTCCATTAAGGACATCTAGAATAAAAGCAGACCACCTGCTTGGGCATAGAAACTTTCATTTGAAATATTCTTAAGACTGAGCCAGTCTTCTAAATTCATTTTCTTGCTTAAGGTAATGACTCCTGCCTTGTGCCTTGGCACTTTCTCTTACCTGTCTGCACCTTAGTTTAGTCATTTGCACACTGAGAATCTGTTTAAAGGGATGAGTGAGGAGTAGCAATCTTTGACCATGGCAACATCAACAGTACCATAACAAAAATGGGAAATAAGCATTTCCAAACAGCTTTGAGGACTGTGTAAATAGAAATATTGTTACAGACAAGCCTGAATGGTTTCAAAAGTTTATTAAATCAAAAAGGAAAATACGAGAAAACAGGATGGGCAAACTAATTAGGGTAATTTTAGATAGTTCAGCCTAGTTTAGATGGCTGGACAGATGCCATTTACTTTGGAAATCCTGTGCACTGCAGCCTTGTATTTTCTCATGGGAAAAGACTCTCTACAAGAAGTGCTGCTTCTTAAAACTATCAGCCACCAAGAAGCCCAAAGTCCCTGGGGAAGGTGGTAGGGGGAGCAGGAAGAGCAGAACCTGGTATACCGCCATGACTGCCACTTCAGGGAAAGCAGATGACAAAGAGAACTATCTTTGCTTGGCAGACCTACTTTGACTGAAGCACATAAAGTGATGTAAGTTCACAAAAACAACACATGAAAAATTGCTTTGATTTGATTAGCAAGTTTTCAGCACTACCACTAGGAAAAGAATATGTTAAAGGGATAGGGGGAAAAACCCTTCAGAGAACTATAATCCTTATTAAAAAACCCTCCCAAAACCGTATTTTCTACAATTTCAAGGGTTAAATTATTAATAAACATATTGCAAAATAACAGAGCCTTATCCACTGATTAGGCAGCTAAAGCAATTGCACACTAAGAATGGACTGTGTTTATACAGTCACGTGTAAACGTGTGGTTAAACCTTTGTTTATTGACTCAGCCATTAACAGGAGTAAAGTACTGCTTGGCACGGAGCTGCATTTTCCTTTTAACCTTCCTTTTGGCTTCAGGAAATGCATCCTGACCACCTCACAACACTATACAATGGTGATTTCATCCTCTTCCTCCCTAAGGGTGGATGGTATGGAGAAAGATCTAGTGGGAACCTCCTCTTCAACTGCTGCATACAAGCACTTGACATAAAAAGAACAAAAGGCTTTTCTAGTATCTGAAGAAGTGTAATTAATATAAGCATTGATCTTATATCATGTTATGATACTGATTTGAAGATTGAAGAGTCATTACATCAATACATAATGGTCTTCCCAGTAACAAAAATAAAGTGAAAACTGCCTGAATTTTCCCTGGATTTTGGCAAGCTATGCATTAGCATATGCATACCAACAGTAACAGCTATATTACAAAATGCTACTACTTCTTTTGTAGATTGATTACAGCAACATGCTCTAGAGTACACAGCCTGTTTTGCTTTGTTTTATTAGGCAATATTTAAAGCCCCAGTAACAACAAAGCCTCTCCTGTCCTCAAGCATCATAACGTCAGCTCATTTCCAAATGGCAGCTACCACACTTTAAAACAAGCAGTGATGAAATGAATCCCTCTCAAACACTGTATTTCTTAAGCAGAAGCTGATAGATGTGCTTTTTAGATATGTGCATGAATATACACCTGCATTTACTTGTCTCCCTTTAGCCAGGTATGTGCACAAGGTAAAAATGTGTCTCTTCCCTCATTTGTTGCTGCTTTCCTCTGTTGCATGGTGTTCTTGCTCCCCCCTTCTGACACACACAAATATGCACACACACACCCTCCTTCTGACTTTGGAGCACAGTAAGACTGATGGAATCTCTTAAGCCTTAAAATAGAGACAGGTATCTTTCCAAATGAACGATGATACTGGGAAAGCAAGAATTGATTTACTGGACTCTAACATGGCTGATGTGGCTACTCTTTTCTGCTGATTGCACTGCCATAAAGCTCTGTAAATTGCCACTATCACTCTCAGAGCCTGAGCTTTTGTCAGACACACAAACAACTACTTTTGGGTTTCTGTGCACATGGCAGTACAACCCAAATCCAGCTGTCACCTCCCTCTGAACCACAGCAGCATCTCCTCAATGGCTATCAGGCCTTGCAAATGTCCTCAGGGAAGGGGTAGAAGGAAAAAGGGGAAAAAGAAGGGGGAAAAAGGAGGACCATGTGGAAGAGGAGGGAGATTATATGGTGGTGGGAGAACACTTTGCAATGCAGCATCTCTGCTCCAGCTCAGGTGCTTTGTCATGTCCCTGTCCCAGCCTGTGACACCAAGCTCTTCCAGCTGGGTGGCACAGCCAGGGTGGGCAAGAGAACTTCCACAATTAAGTGGAAACCAATTACTGTTTACAGAACTGACACTGGGGGAAAAACAACTCTTTATTGTCATGTAGAAATACTGTACAGACATGTAGAAATACTTGCAACAAAACCACTTCCTGAATTCCTTTCATCTTTTTCGCTAATGGTTTCTAAGTGAAAATACTCCAAACACCCTCTTGGAAAGATGGTTTAACTCAGAAATAAGGTTTTTTTTTTAAAATGTAAAGACTATATCTAGGGATACTGCCTAATTCTACAGACCCTGGACTAAGAATATTTGTAACCATTCTCACATTTTCACACTGCACCTTGTAAACATTTAGGGGAAAAAAAATCAGACTAGGCAAATTTAGAAAGCAAGAAATGATCTTTAACAGACCATTCTCTCTTATAAGATTCTTGACCCAGCAAAATAAACACACTAAACAGGATGCTATTTTCAGATTGGCCCCTAAATCTTTTGTATAGTATTTCAACAAACTGAAAAATCAACTTCTGAATTAATTTTAGGGTTTGATATGAGAAGACTTTGACTCCCCAGTTCCCAGAAGCAGAATGGCACCAGCTGCAATACAGGCACCTGTGGAAACCTGTGGGAGTTAAAATGCCATGGACTTCCAAAGGGAGGAGAAGCAACATGCTCCATCAGCAGCAGCAGGCTGGATGTGATGGACAGCAATCACACACAGTCCTACAGATCCCCACACAGACTGTGCACTCCTGGAGCTGGAACAACATCTAGTTTTACACTCTGAAGCATATATTTTGTTTTATAACCCACTTAAACATTGCTAACTTGAGCATCCAATCCATGTGCATTCTTCTCTCCATCTCAAATAATCTTTTCCTTGGTATGGTCTAAAAACAAAATATATAGAATTTTTATTCCTAAACCAAATTAAAAAAGAAGTGCTGCTATTAATATTTAATAATGCTACTATATGTTTCAGTACACTGTGTAACTTCATAAGAAAAGAGGCAGTCTTCAAAATTTGAAGTTATTTTGCAGTGAAGTATCTCAACAGCAGAGCACAATTAACTATGGAATGCATTGACTGAAGCTTGGGAACAGAGTGTAACAGAAAATTGGTATTTCTATGACTGTAGAATACTTATTTATGGTGGAATATTTATTAACTCACTCCTTGTTACATTAGTTCATGGAAAACCAGTCCAAGTATATTACCCTATAATCTGAGTTTCCAGAGCTTCATGGCTATGTCAATAAAGCAGAAAGACTGCAGAACTCAGGCATATTTCTGCAGCTGCTCACCAGCCAGGAAGTTTACACAGAGCTTTGGGGAGGCATCTGCTTTTTGCAGCAGGAGAGCTGAGCTGTGCCTGGTGCTGGAGAAGTCCTCCTGCATCAGCCCTACACTGGCCATTACCAGTATGACAGAAGCACATCTCTATTCCTCCTGCCTTGAAAGTATTTTGGGATGCAAATCGTTCTTTGGGCATGCTGGTTGGATTTGCTACTAACACACAGAAGCCATGCAACTTGTGAGCTTTGAGATCACCTCCTCAAAGAGCCTTGAGTCTGCTTGGTGTATACTTGGGTTGCACCTGTATGGCCATTCCAGTGAAGCTGGACGCAGCGAAGCAACGCCAACCTAAGCTAACAGGTCCAACAGGGTGGACACATGTAGACAAGCTGTTAGAATCACTCCACGATCCAAAACAACGTTCCTTTCCAATTTTGGACTTGGTGGATTCATAGTAACCACGACTTGCTTTCAGTTTTCAGTTCCCACATCCAAAAACATTGACAGTGGAATTCCAATGCAACTAAAACATATAAACCCTTGGCTGATTTACTTCAAGTTCTGCTGAAACTTTGGCGGAGAGTTCAGTCTCAAACCCAGTAGTACTTGGCTTGTTTAGTCTAGGAAAAACAAGCTCACTGCTTTTAAACACAGCAAGGAATAAACACTTGAGAGAAGAGTTAGTTGTGTTAAATAAAGCTGACATGAAAAGAAAAACCGTTAGTGATGAAATTTAGAGAATGAGATCAGTGATGTTCTGAAACACAATTCTAATTAAATCAGGGAGGGCAGAAAACCCATCACACCTTTCAGCACACAGCCTGATAAACATGTTCCTTATGGATGCATTTATCAGGGGACAGATGTTCCCTGATCAAAGACAAGTGTCAAGATATGCTTGAAGAAGAAATATCAATGGAAGAATTAATGATTGATAGCAAACACACTTTGACATGTCTATTCTTGATCAGCAGAAAACTACTTCAAACTACATATGAGGTCCTTTTACAAGTCGACTGCAGTCACCTGTCTTCCCTGACAGGCACAAGATGTAAGATTTGGGGCTTCTCCCTCTCACTTTCCTATAATATTAGTCCATTTGTGCTCCTCACAAAGGATTTTTGGTAGGAACTGAACTCTTACAACAACATTTAGAAGAGTTGCAGTTAATACTTGTGCTGTAGCTGTTCCAGTTGGATCAGAGACAAGCAGACTCCCTGACTAAAAATACATGATTTAATATGGTGCTTTTCACAAAATAATGAAATAAGAATGCAAAACAAAAATCCAGTATGATCTCAGTGTAGCATTGCTTTTCCCAGCAGCAGGAGTTAGAGCTTCATGGAGCAGCATGATTATGAAGAAGAGTAATGTCCTGCTCATCCTTTCATTCCAACCTCCATTTCCAGGCTTTGAAAACAAGGACATTTCCCTAAAGGAAGCTGTAGATGACCACGAACCAGTTAAAAAAGAAGCTGAAGAAGTAAGACTTTGGTGAAGACTTTAAATGGTCCATTCTGGTTGTCTTGACTGAGCAGCTCAAAGTTCTCATTTCAGCTGGTTTGATTCTTGGTTGAACAAAGGTATGAGGAGAAACTAAGGAGTATGAGACTGCCTAAAGATGATGCAGTTCCACAGTTGAGTGGACAATCTATAGACAAACTCTTCAACTTAGTAGTTTTATTAGGTTTTTTTATCAGTCTTCCATCAGATAGGAAAGGATTGAAGAGAAACCTTTCTCTCCATCCATTTACAAGGTAACGAATACAAATATGATTAGTTTTCAGGAAGACAAATTTTCCCAGTGTGGAATGGGGAGATGGCACTTTGCTGGTATAGAGCAAGGAAGAAGCAGCTTCCTTTGACAAGCAACACTAGCTTGAATTGACCACAAAACTCAGATCTTAACACAGTAGAAGACAAAATGGATCACAATGCTACAAACCACTGAAGAACTGAGACAGTGACACTGGAATCATAGTTCCTGGATTTATATCAAGGGTTTTGAATCACCAAATTCCTATTTCATCTTCTTCTTTTCACACTGACAGAGGGATATATATATATGCTGGGGTTTTTTTAAAAACCTATATTTTTATTTTATTACATTGTTTTAAAACCTGTGTATTTTAAGCAGAGATCACAAACTGTTCCAGGCAGTGCAAGCAATGTATGTTCCTCACTTTAAATAACTTCTAGTATATGTAATTCTATACTTGCTACAAGAAGCTCTTTTGAGGGGGGTTACAGGATAAAATTTGAGTAATGAACTTTTCATTTAAATGCTACAAGACCTATAGATTGTGACTCTGAATACAAGGAGAGAAAGGAAAGTGTTACAGCAGGTCTGTGCCATTTTTAATTTTGTAACTGTGTGATCAGATTTCAGTCTTTATTAGAACAGCACTTAAAATAGAATTTCTTTTGTCACATCTTCTGCTGTATTGCTGTTCACTGCCTGCATGGAACCCTTTTTCTGCTTTAATTAGCAATTAGGGAGAAAACATGTAAGCCTAAACATCAAAAGAATAAAATTTTGGCAATGTCACTTAGCAATTTAGACTCTGAAGCAACATAAAGAAATTGTTTTTAAATTCAGATTATCTTTTAATTAATCTCCATATACTAAAGACAAAAAAACCCTGTAGCTACACAAATAACAGTTCATTGTGTGCAAAGATCACACAGGGATCAACATTAACAATATTATTAACAATAATTTACATCCCTGGAATAGTACTGCTAAGTAGCTGAAAAAACATGAGATGTCACGTTGTAATTTCAGTTACCTCCCATTTTTAAAGATTTATTTACCTATCAGCATAACCTTACCTTAGCAGAGCAACTTAAAAAGGAGAGATCAGAGACAATGCAAAGAGAGGAGAAAGAGGTACAAGGGGGACAGCAAAGCAGTATTTGAATGTGAACTACCACATCTCATTGCATAAAGGATTTATTGCAATTTCTGTGCTCCCTAGGCTGGTTGTTTGGGTTGTTGGTTTGTTTTGGGGTTTTTTTAACTCACTCTACATGGCATAAACATTTCCTTTGTAAACGTAAGCTGTGTGATCTCATGCCCAGTGCTCTGCACCACGTCACAAAAACTGTACTCACCGGTATGAGGTTTCAGGAAGCAAATCATCGATAATGTAACTCGTCACATTTCCCACTGGAATGCTGATGTCACCCAGGTCAATGTTGTAGGATGTAATCTCAGCCCCATTATTGCATGGCTCTTCCCAGTTCAGTACAAGGCACACAGAGGGTGAGAGCTGACAGGCATCCACGTGCTCATCCTCCAGCACGGAGAGGATGGAGACTGCATCAGGCACCGACGCAGGGATTCTGCAGGTCACCAGGTCACTGTAGGGTCCAGCTCCAGCCTGGTTAATGGCCTGAGTGGTAAAACAAATAATTTTACAGGATAAATGCTCTCTTTCACATGTGTATCAAGTTCACAATAATGAACTGCGCAGCCTGGAATCGCTGCATGAATTCTTCAAAGGATATGCACTGCTGTTCTTCTCTAAAGCATGACTCATACCTCTGTCTATACTAGGGAATTAATATCTTCCTTTGTCACTCAGGAGTGACTCTCAGAGAAACTGAAGAATATTTATCTTTTCCCTAATAGATATTTAATTGCACTTAAGAGTAACCTTGTTATTAGCAGGAAGCTTTGGTTAGTAAGGGAAAATGTCACAGTCACCTTGCCAGGGACAGGTGACATCATGTAGTTCAGCAAACTGACTATCCAAAATTGTTGAGCCTCTTGGTATAAAATCCTCAGTATACTCCAGAGTGCACCATCAGGTACTTCATGCAATTAGAGTAACCCCAGAGATAAGGGGCATTTGACTTGTTGAGAACTACCCTGGTTCCTGAGTCAGAGAATGGATTAGCTAATTTCATGCTGAAAAGATTCTGATGTAAGAATATAGGAGCTCAGCATGATGCAGATTTCCTCAGAGTCATAATCATTATGGCTGGAAAAGTCATAACTCACTAGCAAACCACTACCAAAGCACACAGCTCAGTATCTTCCACCAGACAGGAAAGCAACAGTTACCAAAGTTTGTCATCTTGACTCAGAGATTCAGAATCCTAGTGGAAACCAAGTTTTAAAATCTGGCCAGTTTCTGCTCATTAATTAGAGGCTCTTGTCTTTGCAAGCTCAACATTGCACAGTTGTACAGACCTGGGGTTTCATCAGCTGATGCTCAGTCAGTGGCAAATGCTGTACATGTTGCATTGGAACTGCCTAGGAAATTACTCATGTTACCTCCTCAGGATTATTTTAAGCTCCTGTGCACACAATCACAGGACCATGCAGGCTGGAAGGGACCGTGAGACACATCTAGTCCAACTTGCCAACCCAATCAGGGTCTAAACTGAATGCAAACTAGGTTGCTCAGGCTTTTGTCCATTTGAGTCTTGAAAAATTCCAAGGATGGATGCTGCACAGCCCCTCTGGACCACTGTTACAATCCTTAATTGCCTGCATAGTGGTAACTTTTTTCTTTATATCTCATCTGAACATCTCTATTTCAACCTCTGCACAGAGCAACACTGGATGCAGTACTCCAAGTGCTCATCAGTGGCATGTAATGGGCAATACCACCTTCCTTGGATCTGCTGACCAGGCTCCTCCTGACACAGCCCAGCATTCTGCTGAGCACATGAGGTACAGAGAAAGCTTACAGTATATCATGGTACAGGAAGGTCCAGAAAGCACAGACCTTCAAAACCAGCTTAGACACTGCTCAGCATCCTCCACCACCCACATTTCCTTTACATTTGCAAAAGTTAGTCCTGAGTCTCCCATCAGATTACAATTAATTAAAAACCCCAGGCTTACAGTGTTGCCAGCAGGACTATGATGGGAATGAAAGGACATGTCAAACAATTGTTTGATTTCTTATCTACGCCTAACCGCAGTGAATAACTTATTTCTGCTATGCATAATACAAACACAAAGCCATGTTCTGTTTCTCCAGGAGGTGTTTTGTTCAATTGAAGAAAGAGATAATAAAGTTAGATTTGTCAGCCTTTAAAAAGCCCTTCAAAACAAATCCTGCTCGGGGGAAATCTTCTATTTAGTGAGGCGCTCCTGGAGCTGTTAGAAGTGAGCCTTGTTTCGTGTTCTGCCAATGATATGATTTGTCTTGCCTCTAAACCAGTGTTTGGCAATCTGTATCTTGCTCCAAGCAATTTATTGTCAGTGATGCTTTTTAACTGCTTTATTGGACAATCTCATCAGCATAACTAACGGGAGTTTCATTCTTCTTTGCTGCCTAGATGCTTTCCCCTGCCACCCCCAAATGACACAATATTTCCCTCTGCACAAGCCACAATTGTTTTCAGGAATATTCATTACAGGAAAAAAGTTGAGCAATACTAAAGACAATTGTCTACCCTGCAGCTAGATATGCCTGATTCCTCAATTCTCTCTTTTATTGAGTTACTGTAGATTGAGATAGCAATACTGTGTGTTTATTAGGAGGCAGAGTAAATGTGGTTTGGGGAATCTTTATTTCTAAAACTAAAGTTTTTTTCTGTTAAAGCTGCTAACAGATAAGAAAAACAGCTATTATTCTCTCCTTTTTTTCAAAAACAGACTAAAATTTCAGAATCTATTTAATTTCCCTTCTTTGTCAGTCATCCATACTTTGTGGGGGTTTTGTGTGTAATTCTTTAGAAGTTCCAGTGAATCTTATAGCAAATTCTGTTCCATATAACATACTGATCAGACCCAGAGGATGAAGCCCTCTAGAAAGTAATACCTGAGTCACTGATGCACTTCAATAAAATATCTCAGTGCTGTTGTGCATTTCATGTAACTTTTGTCTATAGATTAAATAATATTGGCCGTGTTAAAAACTGAGTAGATTTGTGCAACATTTTTGTGGCCCACTCGAAATCAAAGATGCCATACAGCTGGCTGTTTCCATTTTTAACATTAAAATTTCCTTGGGCTCCCCACAGCAGGGGTCTCACAGTCTCCTCCCTGCCCAGGGGATGCTGAATGCTCTCCTTTTTGTACAAACAAGAGGCTCACACTTCCCAGCCACTCACACATGCTCCCTCACCTCTCCTTCCCCCACAGTGGCAGTGCAAGGTACACATCTAGTTATGGCCAAAGCACAAAACACACTTGAGCACACTTGGAGCTGTGGGGCCTGAGCTCCTTGGCTGCTGGCCAGCTGCTCCAAAGCTACTTCCCAAAAATTAAAAAAATTCAATGTCTTGTTTAAAAAAAAAAACAAAACCCCTCTAAGGAGGAAACACTCAACAGAAGCATGTTGTCCTTGATCAAAGAAACCACCCTGGGTGGTCCACATGGTGCCAGCTGGGTGGGTATGTGAACTGTGGGTTGGATTCGTGGTGGTATTCTGCCTTCACATACAAACAAATCTTGTGGAAGAGTATCTTGAGCAAAAAGAGTTTTGCTTCACTGCTGCTTACTTTACCTTCCATTTATTTCTCAGTAGGCATAAAGGAGAAAAAGTGCTGTATTTTAAGATATATATAAAATATCTTTTAACTGCTACTTTTTACTGGAGAGAAAGAGATCAAAGAAATCATATAGAGACTCTATATGAGATCCAATCTTACAAATCTAAGAGACAAAATGGCAATGATGAGAACACACTCTCTGGCAGGTACCATCTCCTATACACACAGAAATCTGCTCTGCTGCTTTGCTTTACCTGATAAATGAAACATGCTGGAGTTCATTATTTAAGCTAGGGGAATCTTCAATATCCAGTTGAAAGATGTTATTTATCTCTCATAACCAAGAAAAAAATTGATCTTTATAAAAACATTTTCTATATCATTATCATTTTGTTTGAGTGTCAGAGGTTGTGTTAGCTGTTAAGAGCATTGGTCACAGAAAGTAATGAAACACAGGAGCAATTTTCAAGTAACACATCAGTGTGCATTACTTAAAACAAACGTGCATTCCTTCTGACTTCCAGGGCACAATTTCAGAGTGGCTAATGATAAAAACAAAAACACAGTGGAAGGAAGCTCTGTTTACATTTCAGGTTGCAAGACATGCACCACCTCATCCTGCCATACCTGTAGTCTGCAGCAGTAATGTGCTGCTGCTGCCAAGTCACTTATTTCAAAGCAGGTGTCTGTGCCACTATATGCAAGTTGTAGAGATTCCTCATCTTCTCCCCACTCTAATCTGTATTCAGAGATGTCAGCACCAGAACATTCAGGACTCTGCAACACAAACATTTATGTGGCTCAATTCAGAAACAAGCACTTCAGATCTCTGTGTTTCACCGGGGAAGGAATAAAGTACACGGAAAAAAACAAACAACAACCACACTCCTTTTTAAATTAATACACCATTACTGTAGCAAATGGAAGCGTACCGAGTTAATGTTCCCTAATAGGTTACTGAAACAGGACAATTCTGCACAAAAATTACCTGATTGAAATTCAGAGAAATGAGAGAATGTACGCAGCTACTTTGCTTTTCATCAGGACACTCAGGAATAAATTGTCTCTCCACTGGCTTGGCAGAAGCTCAACCATGGAGAACACAAAAAAGCATCAATCTAGCGCAGCCTAGTTGAGTGATCAACACACAGCACTGCAAGAGCTGTCCTTTGGGCCTGAAGCAGTCACCCATGTAATTGAGAAAAGAACAGCCTCAACAAGAGAGGAGCTGACCTGAGGTTTGCAGTGAAAGTCACTCATCAAGCTAATGGTCCCAGTATGGGACATGGGGTGTGGATCCTGATACATTAACATCCACAATAAGATTCCTATGTGAATCATCAAATGGTTTGGGTTGAAGGGAACCTTAAAGATCAGCTAGTTCCAAGCCCCCTGCCATGGGCAGGGACACCTTCTACTAGCCCAGGTTGCTCAGAGCCCCATCCAACCTGGCCTTGAACTCCACTTCCAGGGATGGAGCATCTGCAGCTTGTCTGGGCAACCTGTGCCAGTGCCTCATCACCTTCACAGTAAAGAATTTCTTGAAAATATCTAAAGATGTCCTCTTCCACATATCCCCAGCAATCCCTTTATCTAGGGAAACACAAAATAAATACCTGAATGTGCTGGAGATGGGCTAGGCTCAGGCATAAAGGCACAGTTCCCAAACCAAAGTATTTTTTGTTTCTAGCAGAACTACCTAGAGCCATGCTGTGTGGCCTGAAGCAGCTCAGGGAATCCCTGTCCTGTGTGCAGAAGTGTGGCACAGGTTATGTCAAAGACTTTGTGATTAGGGCATAAGATGTAATTTCCAGTAAAGGGATCCAGAGCATTGCTGCACACCACAAGGACCACCCTGCACACCCACATGAGCTTCTCGGTTCTGCCTCAGAGCTTCCAGCTATTTTAGTAGGAGCATTCAGAACTGCTAAGACAGATTTTTAAAACAAGAAAGGCACCATAGTAGGCACCACAGTGTGCTCTCTAGCCAGACAAAATACTCCACAGTGCTTTGCTGTTTTTCCTTCATATTCATATCAGCCAAAAAATGACACTCTTTAAGAAAACATAACCACAGCAAACCACATTACTCCATCCATAGCTACATTTTTAGCTAGAATAAACAAATATATCCTACAAATAAATACAGAGTCTACCAGAAACACTGCTGCATTCCCTCATGGCTGGGGAGAGCAAACGCCTGACCATTATAAGGCAACATTTACAAGTTTGGTGTGATTTCTAGCTTAGAGTCAATGAAATGTTGCAAAAACCATTAATACCCCCAAACAGCATCAAATACACCTGTTTATTATAATGTGAATGCAGATTATGTTTGTATCTTGATGTGGGGTTAGTACAATTTATTTGAGCATCCCATGAATGACAGGAACTCCTTTCTCACCAGGGGTAATGTCTTGGGAAGGAACTCAACAGAAGCAGGGCTGGAATGGCTTCTAGACTTTCAGTGAGCCTGTGGCAGAACTACAGCCTCACTGCTCCATATCACAACATTATTTATGGCAACATCCTTTCCTTTCTGCCTTAATTACACAACTTCTTTTTAAATGACATCAATCATTCGCTAAGCATTTCATCTAACTGTTATTTTAAGAATCCAGTGTCAAAGATCCTGGTGAATGGAGGAGGAATGAACACAAACTAAAATAGAAGTAAATATATGGTGAAGAGACGAACAATTTTTGAGGAAAAACACTACACTGTAAGCATTTATGCAGAGTTGATTTCGTATCAGAGATTCCAGTTTCAGCCAAAATCAAATATTTTCATTCATAATTTGAACTCAGGACATGCTGATATGCTAAAAGTCTGCAGAGAGCACTTCTACGCCACCAGTATCATCTGATGCCAGGGCAGGTGGTCTCATGCCTGAATGCTGGTCTGGATAACTCATGACCAACTTTGTGATTCTTCAGAGAAAAGCAGAGATGATTTTCTATAATATAACAGTTTCTGCATATGGTTTTCTTGCAGAAAAAAAAATAGCCCCAGACCAGTGAACAGCTCTCGAGCTAGTTTCTGAGTTTTGTAGTGACCATATTGGTTTGGGTAAGTGAGATGGGATTAAAGAACCAAAGCACTTGACTTACCTCCCAGCTCACAAGTACATGTGTGTCGGACAGGAAGGACAGGGAAGGTGCTCTGCACTGGCCTGGAGGTCCTGCTGCTGTGGTGACCTCTGTAGCTTCCGAATATGGCCCGTACTAGAGGGAAACAAGGTGCCTGTACATTAATATACAAGC